TTTATAACACAGGGGACAAACGAGTATGCGGCTCACCTGATGGTAAGTGATTACCGCCGCCCATGAGCACCCGCAACACCAGGGGAATTGCAAGTACTTTGTCGGCCTTTTAAAAAGGAATAAGCTCTTTCTTGAAGGTTTCAATATAGTATCGGTTCGGAAATACCATTGCTGGAGGTGATTCCACAATGTGGTTGTGCGAGGCAAAAAGTTTCTAGTAAACCGCACATGTGGAAGACCGCCATTCATCCAGATGATCAGGATGGTATTTGTATAGTTATTTCTATATATTGTTATGTGTTTATTTTTATTAATATTTTAACGTTTTATTTTACAGGTCCGGTTTGAAGTCGCGACGCATGTCGGCTACAATTACTATATGTTAGGGAAAAAATGTAGAAGCGTGTGAGGGATATAAAGTCAGTCGTACATTTCGATACGACGAGGATTTTGATGATCTCCAGCACGTATCAGAGTCCAGGGTAGGTAATAGCACTGTATCACTTGTTAGGCAGTTTTAGTTTTATCACTCGTTATTAATTTTAGGTTAGGACCGTCGCGCGCGCGTCGGCTGGTACGGTGTTTGCAACAGTCCATGTTATGATAGGGAAAAAATAATAAAAAGAGGCATACCCTCTTTTTATTATTTTTTAACATACGTATATAACATACGTACCTACATTTTTGAACACTTTAATATCATAGAATAAATATATTAGACGTTGTTGCTATACAAACTGTTTTAGCCGATGCGGCTAAGGCAATTCGTTCACTGGTGAGGTAATGGAGTGATTAGTTTTAGGGTACAATGGGACTGGCATGTACTTAGTGGTACAAAGTCCCTAAATTTAAAAAGAAATAAATAAAATAAAGTTTAATATGCTCACTTTGTAATGCACAATAATAATGCAGATTGTTTAATATCTGGAATCATACTTGGAACCGTAATGAAGCAAATTTCATCTCATTTCAATAAAATATTCCCCGGGCCGCAGAGCGCCCGCCATACTGCCTAATTTCCATTTCACAGACGAAAAAAATACACTCTAATAATAATGCATTATATTGCTGATCAAAATTTCACGCAGCCCGACCGGAAGTCGGCTGCGGCCGGCAGATGACGCCATTTCCTCTTATTGCTGAGTTTGCTGACCACGACACAAAGCCTCCCGTTTCTGACCTGACCAATGTATCGCGTCATCGCAAAATTATCTTTAACACTTCGCGTTAAAGACTAAATTGAATGCAGTAAACTTTTTGGTCTTTTGGATACACACTTAGTTTTCCTGGAAAATTGCAGCGTTCTATCGACGCGCTGGAAAATGAACTCTATTCTAATGGAATAGAGTTACTATGCCGGTTTAGTGGTGGTTAAAATATGTAAGTAATTTTGCATGGCAATGGAGACGAGTAATTTGAGCGTCTCATTGATTTAATAGAGTTCCGTGAACAGACAGAAAACCTTTTCACAGTTCAACAGTTGCGACGACTGGCGCTTTACATAATTTATTAAAAATGAAAAACTATAAATTTCATCTGAACCAAACTGGAAATGTACTGATGAGAGAAATAGTGAGGTTCACACGTTGTAAATACATGTTTAACCGACTTAAAAAGGAATAAGAATAATTATAAGAATAATAATAACTTTAAGTACTATTGTCATTTTTTACACACTGGAAACGGCAGGGCATGTTTTGAATAATAGTTAAAAATAGTTTTAGAACCATTATGTAAACATGTTCCAATAAATGAATTGAATTGAATTGAAGAAGAATAAGAGTAAGAATAACTTACATTTCGGTTTACATAACTTCTTATCTATGGCCCTACACTAAATAAGGATGAGACTCTATTTTCAATGACTATGATTTTTTTGTGGATTTTCAACGTATTCTCCATCAATCGTGGAGCGATTTTCAAAATTATTCTTTTTATTTCAAAAGGATTTATATCCTAACTCACAATAGAATCATTCTAATTAACACAATCTATCTATTGTGACTAAGTTAGTCTGATAATGGGTAATTGAGAAAAATGCTCCTAGATCCACCTTTAGGGGTCGTCTGTTTGAGTTTTGCATCTAGGAATTTATAGGTAAATTTGCAGGGAGTAAAAATTAAAAAATTATATAATGTATAATTATAATGTAATAATATATAATTATATACATGATGTAGGCATCCCCTAAGAAAGGATTTTGATTAATTCTACCCCCAAGGGGATGAAATAGGGGGTGAAAGTTTGTATGAAACTTTGTCAATTTTAAACCGATCGGACTGAGACTTTGCATACATAAAGCTACTATGACGTAGGCAATTCCTAAGAATCCCCTTCGCTCGTGTTATTTTAGGGGTGGAATTTAACAGAATCCTGTTAAATTCCACCCCTAAGGGTATAAAATAACAAGAGCGCAGCCGCGGACAAAAGCTAGTGTGATATAAGTTAAATAAATTAGAAGTTAGACATAAACCGAACAGTATTGGTCTATATTCATACACACAACTATTTCATACATTTATGATTCATCACATGAACACACGCCTATTCAGTGGACTTCTGGCTCCTCCCTACGGCAAATATTCGTCGTTTTCTACAAAAGAATGCGTAGGTGGATGACAAAAGTGCTCCTTCACTGTGGAAATTTATAAATTGCACGGGAATGATAAATAATGCGGACAGTTTGTATCTGTGGCCGGCCATAAATGTCCCAACTTTATATTTATTTATCGCGAGTCGCCACTGAGGACTAGGGATGTTCTCATACCTGCAAGATATCGATACTTATCATCATTACATAGTATAAAACAAAGTCGCTGTCTTTGTCTGTCCGTCTCTATGTATGCTTAAGTCTTTAAAACTACGCAACGGATTTTGAAGCGGTTTTTGGATTCAAGAGGAAGGTTTATATATAATACATGTACGCCCGTGCGAAGCCGGGGCGAGTAGCTTTTTTGTTCTTTGCGATAGCATATGCTGGTGGTCACTCTATTCTCCCAAATTAGAATTTAAATGAATCTGTATTACTGAAAATATGTACAACATTTATTTAAAAAAAATACGAGCTGAATTTCTTGTCAGTTCTCATCTCGAAGTATTCCGAACTGCCGGTAGATTTGACATATCATAAGAGTCTGTAATAGACCTACATGAATAAAGATATTTTAAATTTGAATTAATATTCAAATTATATCCCTTTCAAGACGTCGGGAAACATCTGAATTGGTACTTTTATATAAAATCTTACACGGAATAGTCGATTGCCCTGATATTCTACAAAATATTGGTATAGTAGTTCCACGATCATGTAGCAGACTGCTCAATAGAAAAACTTTTAATCTCCCCAAGTGTAGAACTAACTATGGCAAATACTCCCCGGTATATCGAATGTGTGAGAATTATAATAATGTCAGACACATATTTGATATTTTCGGTGCATCAGTCAGTAATATTAAACGGACATTAAATTGTAATTTTCTTGAAATACAAGAAAGCTTCATAACATAATTCTCTATTAATGCAAATTATTATTGTATAGTGTCATTTTGTGTGTGTAAAAATTAAGTTATGCATGCTGTGTCTACATCTAGAAGGATGTGTTACTTAAATAGTTTGTTTTATGTGTATTAAGTTATGTACTATGTAATACATACAGTTTTGTAGACCTAATAAATAAAATATATATATATATATATATAATTATATATATAATAAAAGTATCGAGTGTTAACTCGCATTTGCCTGTGTCGGGACATTCCTACGGTCCTATGAAAGTCGCGGATATAAATCATGGTAGAATGGCAACAGTCGTATTGTAGCCGACTACGTTTTTATCAACCACGCCCACCACAACGAAGTTATGCTGTTTAACAGCACTTCTTGCGTATTTGTTATCTATTTTCTGCTGTATCTGTGACAAATTACAGTAGTTTTAATATTTATTACTTACTAGCTGCGTCCGCGAGTTCGTCCGCGTGGAATTTTACTTTATTTTTCTAAAATAAAAGCAGCCTAAGTTACTCCTTATTACTTTAGCTACCTGCCAATAAGAGTCCCGTCAAAATCGGTCCAGTTATTTCAGAAATTAGCAAGTACTAACAGACAGACAAAAATTGTAAACAAATGTTATTTTGGTGTATGCACCGTATTTATATTCATATGCAAAACGGTTATTTCAATATTACAAGCAGACACTCCAATTTTATTTATATGTATAGAGTATAAATTATGTGTATACGGAATTAATGTTTTTATTATGATGTATCTATATTATATATTATACATTACTAGCTTGACGGCCTCAGTAGTCTAGCGGTTTTGCACACCGCTTTATTACAGATGGTAGCGGGTTCGATTCCTCTCATGGTAGAAATTTGTATTCATAAGCTTACAGTTAAAGCTAGTATTATGGGTAGGTATTAGACAACTGATACAAATAAGTAGATATTTTTTTTCGTAAACAAAATATTATACATAGAAAACACCCAGACCGCCACGAACAATCATATTTATGAATACAAAAGTTTGTGCTGTGCGAGGAATCGAATCTGTAACCATCAGCAGGAAGGCAGTGTGCTCAACCACTAGACCACCGAGGCTGTCGAAACAAAACACATTATTTACAAAGTCTTTTAATGGAGGAAAAGTGGGCGTATCTCTCGAGTTTGTTGAGTACCATCTAGACCCAAGTTAAGCTAGCTAAAGCTTGTGTTATGGGTACTAAATGACTGATACAATTACATAGATATTGTAATATATGTGGATACTTAAGCAATTAAAACGCGAGCACTTCCAAAACGACATTTATTTGATGAACACACGATTGACAGAATCTACCCTATTTATTTATTGTTTTATATGTACCTTACACCTCCACCCTTAATTAACAGTTTCAATAAAATATATAATAATATGGCTATTACTTAAAAATACAAGACAACAATATTAAATATTAGATAACTTAACCTAAGTAATTAATATGTAAGAATGGACTACAAGTATTATTCTGGATCGAAATTAAATCTTTGAACTGGTTTGCGCACTCTTTTGGGTCGCTGTACTAGTGGTGGAAGTAGTGGATTTGGTAAATGCCTGGAATTCAAGGGTGAACCTTCAATTTCTTTCGGCTGCTGCGCCACCCCATGCTCACTACTGTCTATTCCACCTCCTTCGTCATTTAGCACTGTTTCTGTACTGTCTGCTACCTTTATATTAGTGGCAGAATTGCTGTTGTTGCTCTCTTTAGTGTTCTCCTCTTCCAACGAACAAGGAACATCAGACATACGTGATCTACGTCGGATCTGATCTATGTGTTTTGTGTGTTGTCGACCGTTACTTTCTCTGACCGACATACGACGTGAATCAGAATTACTTACTACAGAACCCTTTTCCCATTTTTGTTGGTTTCTATAATCCCTAAACCAAATAGGATCACCTGGTTCAAAGTGTCGTAATTTACCTCCTGCATAATCGGTTTGATGACGTTGTTGCACCCTAACAGAATCGGTTACCGCTCTCTCGCATCTTAATAAATCTAACCTAGAACGTAATGAACGTCTTTGCAAAATTTGAGCCGGTGTCACCCCTGTAGTTCCGTGTATTGTATTTCTATATGTTAAAAGAAATGTTTGTAACGCTGTATCTATATCCGTTTTGTCAATAATTGCCTTTCTAATGACGTTTTTACATAATTTAACAGAATTCTCTGCGGCCCCGTTAGAGGCAGGGTGATATGCCGGTGAATATCTTTGAAATATACCATTAGTTGCAAGGAAGTTTTTGAACTCACTACTGGTAAATGGTGGTCCCTGATCAGACACAATTTCTACGGGTAACCCAAACCTAGCAAACAATTCTCTTAGTGTTTTTACTACCGCTCCGGCTGTTGTGCGTGTCATTTGAAAGACTTCTAGCCATTTAGATGTCGAATCTATCACAACAAAATACGTTAGTCCATGCAATGGTCCTAAAAAATCTATATGTAATCGTGACCACGGCTGGGGTATGTATGGCCACGATTGTGGTGGCGCCCTCTGGGGCATTGGCATCTCGAGTGCACATGTTGAACAACTACGACACAACTGCTCAATGTCAGCATCAATATTTGGCCACCATACATAACTACGAGCCCATGATTTAGTTTTTACAATGCCCATGTGACTACTGTGTAATTGTTGAAGTATTTGTGGCCGCAACGACATAGGAATTATTATTCTATATCCCCACATTAGACAGTTGTTTTCACAATAAATTTCATTACGTCTTACAAAGTACGACTTTAATGTTTCATCCGTACATTGGTTTGGCCACCCTGCTTGAGTATATATTAGAAGTCGACTCGATATAGTGTCAGCGGCCGTCGCCTTCCTAACGTCGTTATGAGTTACGGGTAAGAAATTTTCTACAAAATTCAAATAGGTAATTTCGTTGACCGGACTAACTTCACTATAACAGAGTGGTAGCCGCGACAGAGCATCCGCGTTATTTTTAGCGGATGGTACATATTCTATACTGTAAGTATACCCGGACAGTAACACCCCCCATCGTTGCATACGACTTGCAGCCATGATTGGTATGCCCGCCTTGCTACCAAATATTGAAGTTAATGGTTTATGATCGGTTCTCAAGGTGAAATGCCTACCATATAAGTATTGGTGAAACTTCTTTACACCATAGATAATAGCCAGAGCCTCTCGCTCAATTTGTGAATATGCCCGCTCGGCTTTTGTTAGCGAGCGCGATGCATAAGCTATGGGGCGTTCTCCATGCTGTGTCGTGTGTGTAATGACCGCGCCGACACCTAAACTACTTGCATCCGTCGTTAAGATTAAAGGCAAATCAGGCGAATAATGCACTAATACTTCACTCGATATTAATAACCGCTTTACCTCCCGAAAAGCCTTATCACAATTTTCCGTCCATACGAATCGAACCCCTGACCGTAATAACTCATATAACGGAGCTAAAATGAAACTTATATTCCTAACAAATTTACCGTAATACATTACCATACCTAAGAGTGATCGTAATTCGCTTACGTTTGTGGGTGCCGGGGTGTTCGTTATAGCTTTGACCTTGTCAGGACAAGTATGAACTCCCTTTTTTGAGACAACATATCCTAAATAAGTAACTGATTCAGCAAAAAAACTGCATTTTTCTTTTTTTACTTTAAGACCACTAGATTTCAATATCTCGAAAACTTTGCACAGATTTTCAAAGTGTGAGTGACTATCCCTACCACTAATAATAATATCATCCAGGAATACCCCTACAAATGGTATATGCCCAAACAATTGTTCTAACTTCCTTTGAAATATTCCCGGACTAGACGCGAGACCATACACTAATCGATTATATCGAAACAGGCCTTTATGCGTATTAATCACTGTGCAATTACAAGTATCATCCAGTACAAACTGCGCATAGGCTTGAGATAAATCTATTTTTGAAAAATATTCCCCACCATGTAACCGCGCGAGTAAATCCTCCACTCTAGGCAAAGGGTAACGATCGACATCCAACACTTTATTTAAAGTTAATTTGTAATCAGCGCATATTCTGATGTTACCATCTTTCTTGACCACTGGCACGATGGGCGTAGCCCAGTCGGAGCGGTCGACAGGAGTGAGCACGCCATCGCTCACTAGCTGCTCCAGCGCGCGCTCCACAGGCTCGCGCAGCGCGTATGCGAGCGGCCGCGCTCGCATAAACACCGGCCGCGCCCCCTCGCGCAAATGTATGCTCACCCTACCACCAGTAAAGCGACCCAATTCGTCTGCAAACACTTCACTGTATCTGGAAGTAAATTGACTATAATTAAAATTATTGCAAGATACGTTGTGTATATTGTAACCATTATCGGGTGGTGGTATGGTTATGCCTAAATGTATTATCCATTGTCTGCCCAATAAAACAGTTTTACCCTTATAAATTACATATAAATTTAAATATTTTTTTCTATTTTTATATTCAACGAGTGGTTTTATGACACCCGCCGGTCGTATTGTTTCACCTGTATAATATCTTAATAATAAATTACATTTTTCTAACCTTATCTCACTAAAATATTTTAGGTATGTTTCGTAACTTATGCATGACACGGCACTACCTGTGTCACATTCCATTTGTATACTTTTGTTTTGAATACTCAATGTCACATAAATTGGTGGGAAATGATCTAATGATAACTGATTAATAGTCAGTACCTCGTTCCTGTCATAGCTCTTAGTTTCCACGGCCTCCTCGATGTAGTTGTGTCCATTATTCAGTAACGGACAAACTCGTCGTAAGTGTCCCGCCTTGTTGCATACCCGACAAACATAACGGACAAATCTGCAAGTAGCCGCTTCGTGATCGCCGCCACATGCTTGACACTGTCGTCGCCAGCCCCGCCTGTCTGCCACGGCCGCGACAGCCGCGCGCGCCGTGCCCCTGCTCCCGCTCTGGCTGTGACCCGGCCGAACCAGCCGACCCGGCCGACCCGGCCGCCCCGGCCAGTTGCCTGCTTCAGCTGTAGTCTTATACGATCCTCGTTCACCCCCGTTCACCTCCGTTATCTTCTGACACTCCGCTGACATCATTTTTGACCCGCTATGCCCTTCAGTCAAGGCCGCATCTTTCTCCGCTGCCTCCATACTCCATGCTAAACTGCATGCTTTATTAAAATCTAATTTATCTTCTGCAAACAGCCGTTGCCTTATCGTTTCGCTCGCTAATCCACATACTAATCGATCGCGGAGACTCTCATTCAGCCATTGTCCAAAGTCACATGTTCTGGACATCTTCTTTAATTCTGCTATGTAATCTGATATCTTCTCGTCTTTCATTTGTTTCCTTTGGTGAAATTTGTAACGCTCAGCCAATATACTTGGGCGTGGTTGCAAATGTTTTTCCATGATCACTGCCAACTCATCAAATGATTTACTTGTGGGTTTATCTGGGGTGCACAGGTTTACTATGAGCTCATAACTTCTGGCCCCCATCACTGTCACTAGCGTCGGTACTTGCATTTCCCTACTAATGTTATTGACGATAAAATATTGTTCTAATCGTTCCACATATAAACGCCAATTGTCCGTTTCTATATCGAATTCCGATATCTTCCCGACCGACATTGTTTATTTATTTATTTATTTAACGCACTCACTCACTATTAAAATACACGTAAGTTCGATATTTCCTCGTCGCCAATGTAATATATGTGGATACTTAAGCAATTAAAACGCGAGCACTTCCAAAACGACATTTATTTGATGAACACACGATTGACAGAATCTACCCTATTTATTTATTGTTTTATATGTACCTTACAGATATATACATACTTATAAAAAAAAACATACATATTATACATAGAAAACACCCAGACCGATACAAACAATCATACTCATGAATACAAATGGTTGTCGTGCGAGGAATCGAACCCGCTACCATCGAGGCCGTCGTATGTCTTTTAATGCAGGAAAAGTGGGCGTATCTCTCGAGTTTGTTGACTACCACACTCCGATCCTCGAACGACCAACTATTGAACCGAATATATTGAATTAGATTGCTTTTGCAATTGCTTGTTTACGATTAAACGAGATAAACACGATCCTACGACTATGCGGAAACAACATATGTCTGTATGTCTGTGTATTCGGACGGAACGATTGATTCTTTGCTTTTGATTTATTTGCTTACTAACTGCGCCCGCGGTTATCGCGCGAAATTTATAGTCATTCTGGTGTAGCTATATCACTGCAAAGTTTCATCAGAATCCGTACAGTAGTTTTTGCGTGAAAGAACAAACATCTATCCATACTCACAAACTTTCGCGTTTATAATATTAACTAGCTTTTACCCGCGGCTTTGCTCGCATGTTGTTTTTTTTTAAATAAAAAGTTAATTCTAATACCACAAAGAATATGTGTACAAAATTTCGTGTTTTCGGTTCTGTAGTTTTTGCGTGACAGAGTAACAAACATCCCTACTTTCACGTTTATAATATTATTATTAAGGACTAGCTGTTCCCGCTACTTCGTCTGCGTGGAATATAACTTTATTTTTCTAAAATAAACATAGTCTAAGTTACTGCTTATCACATCAGCTATCTGCCAATAAAAGTCCCGTCAAATCCAGTCCAGCCATTTCAGAGATTGGCTGGAACAAACAGACAGACAGACAAAAAATGTATGTAGTAAAAAAAGGTAATTACAATATTACAAACAGACACTCCAATTTTATTTATAGGTATGTAAGAAGATTAAGATTTATTTCTGCTCTATTGTACATAAATTACATAAATAAATATATATATACTCTGTAGTAGCAACCAATTCTGCTCTATTGTACATAAATTTTATATAAATAAATATATATATACTCTGTAGTAGCAACCAAGGATGTAATGGATATGAGATTTCGGATACGGATAGGTTTCGGATATAGGAATTCAAATTCAAAAATCATTTATTCATGTAGGACATTTTAGCCGCTAATGAACGTCAAGTTTTTACATTAGAATTTTTTTTCCCTACCGAATGATTATTATACCGGATACGGATACTAATGCGGATATGAAATTATTTCGGATTTACCATTTCGGATAATTTTGGTAACGGATATTAATTTTTAAGGAATTTCAAAAGTAAAGTACAAATAGCTAATAAAATGGTTACATAACGTGTCTCAATTAGGCTCCGCCCCTATCCGATATTATCCGAAACTTTTATTTCGGATTCGGTTACGGTTACGATTACGGACCTCCCTAGCATCCCTGGTAGAAACCAACATGCGAGGGGTGAGGGGATTATTAGCAATGTGTACTCATGACCCTATTACTAGCAATGTACCATATCAGGTTGACCTCCACGCGGTTCCCCCTGGCAACCATCGTGATACATTTCCGGTGAATTTGTCACGATGGGCTAACTGACCTGACCTCATGCTCATCTTATCATCCTCCACTGGTGCTCCGCCAGCGTAAACCGATAGCGCAAGTGGGTGCACCATTCCATTATCATCAACAAAAAAAAACCAACATGCAAGGGGGAAAGGAGATTGTTAGCAATGTGGACTCATGACCCTATTACTAGCAATGTACCATATCAGGTCGACCTCCACGCGGTTCCCCCAGGAAACCATCGTGATACATTCCCGGTGAATTTGTCACGATGGGCTAACTGACCTGACCTCATTCTCATCTTATCATCCTCCACTGGTGCCCCGCCAGCGTAAACCGATAGCGCAAGTGGGTGCACCATTCCATTATCATCCAATAAAAAAATCCAACATGCGAGAAACAAATTCGTATAATACATGCGGGTACTTACGACCTTTACATATTACTGGAGTTTCAATACGCCGCAGTCCCGAGGGAGCGCGGCCGCGTACCTACACCTACACTCGCCACACGCACCGAGCATTAGAGGTGACTTGTTTTATTTTTATTAATACATACAGTTTGGGGGAAGGGGATTGTTAGTAATGGGAATTAGTAACTCCCATTGCTAGCAATGTACAATGTCAGGTTGACCTCCACACGGTTCCCCCTGGAAACCATCGTGATAAATTCTTGATGAATTTGTCACGATGGGCTAACTGACCTGACCTCATGCTCATCTTATCATCCTCCACTGGTACCCCGCCAGCGTAAACCGTTAGCGCAGGCGGGTGCATCATTCCATTATCATCCATAAAAAAAAATACATACAGTTAGATTCATTAGGAAGTATTAGGGGGCGACATTTTTTGAGAAAGAGGTCAATCGTCGAATCCAACTCGGATGGGCTCCGAAAGTGTTCGGGAAGCTCCGATATATTTATATGTCCATATTACCGCAGTGTCTCAAGACGAGGGTTTACGACTAATGTGATGACTTATGGCACAGAAACTTTTTTTTTATACCACCACCACACGTGGTATAAAAAAAAGTTTCTATAAAAAAAACCGGTGGCAAACAAGCATAAGACCCATCTGATGGTAAACGGTTACCGTAGCCTTTGGACGCCTGAAACACCAGGGGTGTCACATGCGCGTTGCTGACTCTTAAGAAACCTTAATGTACCCTTCTTGAAAAACCCCATGCTGTAGTCTCCCGAGAAAACCTCGGCTAACTCATGGTCGCTAAAGGTAACTATGGGCCTCATGAATAAGCTCAGAGTCACTCAGAGGGCAATGGAGAGGGCTATGCTCGGAGTTTCTCTGCGTGATCGAAACAGAAATGAGGAGATCCGCAGAAGAACCAGAGTGACCGACATAGACCGAAGAATTGTAAAACAGAAGTGCAACGGGCAGGGCACATAGCTCATAGGATAGATGGTCGTTGGGTGGACAGTAAAATCCTCGAGTGGCGACCGCGGACCGGAAGACGCAGCGTGGGAAGGCCTCCACCAAGGTGGACCGACGATCTGCTCAAGATCGCTGGAAGGAGTCGGATGCGAGAAGCGCAGGACCGATAGTCTGCAAGCATTTGTTCACCAGTGGACGTCTTCCGGGCTGAAATGATGATGATGATGATATTTTTCAGTTTTTACACCGCAAGAATTAAGATTTCTTAAAAAATGAAGATCCGGAGCTAATATGTTACCTCTATATGTCGGTCCGCGTGGCCGCAGCTGATGGTAGCGAGCAGTAGCACACCAATATCTGTGATGGAGTACTTGTTACACGCACTCTCCGGGAAAAAAGTTTGTAACCAGATATTTGTTAAGTTTAACATTATTCAAATTAAAAAATCATTTATTCATGTAGGACATTTTAGCCGCTTATGAACGTCAAATTTTTACATTCTAATTTTTTTTTTTTTAATTATATTTATATGTTCATATTAATACATTATCATTACATAGTATAAAACAAATTCGCTGTCGCTGTCTGTCCCTATGTATGGTTAAATCTTTAAAACTACGCAACGGATTTTGAAGCGGTTTATTTTAGTAGATATAGTGATTCAAGAGGAAGGTTTATATATATTTATATAATACATATACACCCGGGCGAAACCGAAACGAGTACTAGTATAAAAGATAGTTTTAACTTTGAATTGTCCAAATTATTGTACCACCACATACATACACACGCATATATACTCTTTTATTTAATACTAGCTAGTGTACTAGCTGTGCCCGCGACTTCGTCCGCGTGGTTATCAAAAACATTTCATTCATATTTTTGTTCTTTTATTTAATACTAGCTAGTGTACTAGCTGTGCCCGCGACTTCGTCCGCGTGGTTATCAAAAACATTTCATTCATATTTTTGTTCTTTTATTTAATACTAGCTAGTGTACTAGCTGTGCCCGCGACTTCGTTCGCGTGGTTATCAAAAACATTTCATTCATATTTTTGGGTAACTTGAACCGTTTACGCAGCGCACGCAACGGAAGCCCTCAATAATGAATAATTTTTCCCGTTTTTGCAACATTTTTCACTGATGCTTCCCTTCTATTGACGACCTCGGTGGTCTAGCGGTCTAACACACCGCTTTACGACCGATGGTCGCAGGTTCGATTCCTCGCACGGCACAAACATTTGTATTCATGAGTGTGATTGTTTGTATCGGTCTGGGTGTTTGTATAATATGTACGTATTTACGAAAAAAATATCTATGTAATGTATCAGTTATCTAGGACCCATAACACAAGCTCTAGCTAGCTTAACTTGGGTCTAGATGGCGCTGTGTGAATTGTCCTGAGATTATTATTATTATTATTGGTCGTAGCATAATGTTATATAGCTTAAAATGGACTATCCAACACAAAATATTTTTTCAATTCGAACCAGTAGTTCCTAAGATTTACGCGTTCAAACAAACAAACTCTTCAGCTATATAATTTTAGGTATAGATTGAAGTCTGTGGTCAAATTAAGAATAGATATTAATATTGTTTTTTTTAATATTATTTATCTATAGTCTTACTGAATATTCGATCGAATTTCTACCACTAGGTGTTCACTATATAAGATTATATTTATTAATATACTAGCTGATTTCGCAAACGTTGTTTTGCTATATATATTAAAATCGCTATTAAATTAGGGCTTCATGATAGAAGGGTAAAAATTTAGGGTTGAATAGGGTTGCATTTAAAAGATACATAATAAAAAAATAAATTTAGTCAAAACATATAAAAAT